TCTGTAATAAAAGACGTGAGGAAATTCTGTCTTTTTTAAAGACAAACATTTTTGAGGCGAAATACCCAAAAAGAAGTTTGTAAAAAAATAATTAATGTTGTCACTTTTGTTAGTTTCAAGGAATGGCCTCGAAAATCTCTTTCAAAATCTTGTCAAGTATTTTGGTTAGCAGGTGCGCAGCGAGTATTTAAACCATTCAATTCTCCGAAATGAAAAACGTTAGACAATTAGGGGTTTTTGCGTCAAATCGAAGAAAGCGTGCTCTAAAAGTCTTGAAAATATCAACGCGCCCTCATCATCAGGAATTTTTTGAGAAATCTTCAAAGTGCGATGGAACGTTTTAAGAGCCTTTTGCGACTGCTGGCTTAAAACGGCCGTTTCTCAGCAGTGGATGGAAGCAAGTTTCTGAAAGATCTTGCGCATTGTGAATGAAAATGCGCTTTAGCAAAGGGAAAAATTTCGAACTTCCGTCATCAACAAGCGATTTTAGACACATTTTTAACAACACATCAACGACTCCAAAAACGCCTTTTTGCATCGATTTACCAAAATATTTATCTCTCATAAACGAAAACCGGTGGAAAATTTTGGATTTTTGCATAAGTAGAGCAAATCATCCTTTAGACGTCTAGAAAATTTCGTTGGCAGAGTTGAAAGTATCGATGAACTTCCGCCATCTTCAAGCAATTAAAGACCAAATATCCAGTTTCAATGAACCCAATTGCCGTCAATTCTGTTCCTAATTGGGAAAAATACGAAGAGTTGAAAGTTTCGAATTGCGACCATCAGCAGGGCTGAAAAAACATCTAATTTAAAATAGAAAGCTGAAGATTCAATCCAATTGTTCTGCATTAATTGGTGTTTGCGCCTTCAATTGCGCTGATTATTTTCATAACTGTAGCAAAGCGAGAACAGAAAGTCCACGAAACACTGCATTAAGAAAAGCGGAATTTCTCGGGCGGAACGGGATTTTGGCAGTCAACCGAACTCCTTGTTTAATAAACCTAAAATGCCATTAACCCAGTTTAGGTCCGTTTTTGCCCATCCAGCCATGCAGGAACCAAATTGGCAAACATTTGCCGTTCGAATGTGCGCCGCAAATGCACCTTGTCTGGTCTGGTGATGCATTAATCCACCTATATGGCCATGGTATGTTGATATGAATCCCAACCATTTAACCGCCGCTTTGAAGGCGCAAAAAACTGGTCGTTTAGGGCCCGAAAACAGGGACTTGCATGCGGTTGAAGTTGACACGAAAGTTGAGTTGTTGCTCAAGATATAATGAATATCTTGGCACGAAACATTCGCTGCATATAAATGAGTTTAGTTGATTAAACACACGAACGTAACTGATGGCCGAGTCAATTCGCCTTTCAGTAGAAAAAATTAATAATTAAACCGTCGGAAATTCTGCCAGCTGGCCATCGATTTCATCAATAATTCAAGCGCGATTGCGGCTATTTTTGTGGCCAAATTGGAAATACTGATCGTTTTTTTCCAGGGATGTCCAGTCGAAAATGTCCCAGATTGTCAATGCGATTGGCGAAGCCTCTGCCCATGCCCAGGGCCTTTCCAAACCCATCACCACTGCTGATCGACTGCGGAATTCCGAGTATAAATTGTATCTTTTGATGGATCCCACTGCCAACAAGTAAATATTTTTTTCCGCATATTTACCATTCATATTGGGGGGTTTTGGCTCAATTCTCACGTGCTGCTTGCTAAAATCTATTAGATACGCAACAAGCATGAATTTCTAATGCAAATTGCGTGGAGGTTCATTGATTCCTCAGCCTCATCTTCACGCCACCTGCAGCATGGTAAGTGGCCCGTTTATGGGTGCTTCACTTCACTGCATATCACTGATAATTTCCCGCATAGAACAATGGGGAAACCAGGCCATCGGCCATTGAACCCTGAAGGAAATTTTGCGGGCAAAATGAGCAAAACCCAGTTTCTGATGTAATTTTTGGGTTTCCAGTGGCAAGGGCGCAGTGACCGGAATGCTTAAAACCGGCACAAAGGGCCTGTACGTCTTTGACCGAAACGGGCAACACTATCAAGTGTCGCCCCAATGCGTTTTGGACTTTTACATCCACGAATCGCGTCAAAGAACCGGACTAGGCAGGCGCCTCTTTGAGCACATGCTTCAGGTGAGTGAACTCTGAGCAGGATTGAGGCTTTTTCGACGAACCACTCACATGGTTTCAGAGGCAGCAAATAGAGCCGGAAAAAATGGCGATAGACCGGCCGAGCGACAAGTTTCTCGGGTTTCTCAGCAAGCATTACGGGCTGAGTGCACCGGTAAAACAGATGAACAACTATGTGGTTTACGATGGGTTCTTTCCCAAGACGCACGAAACTCCGGCCCATGTGGATGTGGACAAAAGGTAGGCGGTCTAAGCGAAAGTCCAGCTTTTGGTGCGACTAACTCTAATCCCCTAACAGTAACCCGGTCACTCAAAAACAGTCGGCCAATGGGCTGCAACAGGGGGGCAACAGCATCCTCCCATCACAAACGTATGGGCGCTATGGAGCCGCCCATCGTCCTTGTAGCATGGGCCAGGTACACTAATCACTAATCCTTTTCTAACCGCCCTTTTCTTTTAACATGCCCTTAATGCGGTCGCTTTTCCAGATAATCCATAACGATTCGGCTGTTGTTCATCGCAACAAAGACCCCACTGGGTAAGTCAACATGCTGCTTAATCCTCCCTCCTTTGCTCACTTTCGCTCGAGAAGCCTCTGTGAAATGCTTGCTGAATGCACGTTTTCCTCCCTAAAGGCACGCTTACCAGACCAGTCAGAGTTTACCCAACGTTCCTCTCAATTATCCCTCCTCACTCTACAATGCCTATGGGCAAGCGGCTGCAGGCGACTACGATCGCCCCCTAGTAAGGGCAAAGGCGCCTCTGATTCCGCAGGCTTTCGACGGCAGTCTCAGAAAGGGGGCCCACGCCCTACACGGCTCAGTCTCTGCGCCCGTTGCCCAAACGGCACCAAGTGCTCAGAGTCTGGCATATTTCGGATCAGCACCTCGGGCCGCCACTCCAGTGCTCCAAACCAATCAACAACTAGGACTGGGGGCACCTCAAAGCGCTTCGCAGTTTACGCCAATGGGGAACGAAATAAATGTTGCTACCCCTCAGCAATCTGAGCAATCCTACCAAGTCCCAGCTCCGGGTCAAATGAACCAGCAAACCTTCCAAACCGGCGCTTATCAGCCAATGAGGAACGAAGCGAATTTTTCGATAGAGCAGTACCATCAAGCTCCGCCTTCTAGTCAAATGAGCCAGCAAAACTACCACACTCGCCCTACCCAACAAGCGGATCAGTACGTCCCTTATCAGCCAGTAGGGGCGGACAGTCCTCAAAGTGCTACTCAGTTGGCGCCAATGAGGAACGAAGCAAATTTTTCCCCAACGCAGTACCACCAAGCTCCGCCTTCTAGTCAAATGAACCAGCAAAACTACCAAACGCTCTCGACTCCAGAAGCCAATCAATCGGGCGCATATCAACCCATAGGAGTGGGCAGTCGTCAAAGTGCTACTSAGTTTCCGCCTATGAGGAACGAAGCAAATTTTCCCACAGCGCAGTACCACCAAGCTCCGCCTTCTAGTCAGATGAGCCAGCAAAACTACCAACCTCGCCCTACCCAAGAAGCGAATCAGTCCGTCCCTTATCAGCCAGTAGGAGTGGCCAGTCCTCAAAGTGCTACTCAGTTTACGCCAATGAGGAACGAGGCAAATTTTCCGATGCCGCAATACCAACAAGCTCCGCATTCTAGTCAAATGAGCCAGCAAAACTACCAAACTCGCCCTACCCAAGAAGCGGATCAGTCAAGAGAGCTGGGTAGACCTGGGCTGACGCCTCAAAGCGCTGGCCAGCACTACCCAGGTGCGCCTTCTACTCAAACAAATCAGCAAATGGGCTTCTCCACTGAGGGCAACCAACCAGTGGGGGTGGACAATCCCCCTGTAGGGAATTCAGCAGGTTTTAACCAGATGGGCGACAACCACTACCAATCGCCGCCTGCTCAGCCAATGAGGAATGACGCAAGTTTTTCGCTGCCCGCGCACAGTGGGCAAGCGGCCCAATCCTACCAAGCCCAGCCTTCTGGGCAACCAATCGAGGCGCCCAGCGCTCACTTGCTAAGCAGCCTAGGCCAGGCGCCTCCGAGTATTCCGAGTCAAACGCACATGGATGGAAGGCCAGAGTTCCAAAACACTAACCGGGTGATCCAAAGCTACGTTACGGAAAGCCCCCAGTTGTCCATGCCCAGGGACCCAGCAAGGTAATTCCGGGCCAGAGCTCCAAAGTAAACTTTGGCAGACTGTAGATAATCGAAAGGCTTTTTTAAGGAGCCAACAATCGGAAGTGGACCTCTCCAAAGGCTATCCGCCCCAACACTTGTAAGCCCCCCGATTCCCTGTCCTCACGTGTCCTAATCTAAACGCGTTTCCAGCCAAATCCCTGCGCAAGCCAGACCGCCCATAATCATCCGCAACTAGTTCCTCGAACACATCCTCAAATTCCCGTGCTAGGTTGGTGCTTACAGTTTATTTTTGTGTGATCGTTGAAGGCATGCCCGTTTTTTTGTTATTATTTCGCAGGCCCCAAATCGCCTCCCAGTAACCACCACATGCTCCCGATCCAAAATTCTTAGCCAGTACTTGTTAAACCGATTGCAGTGACGAGGCCACGCCCAAAGCAGACAGGCCCAACTCGCTCAACTTTGAGCCGCCCGAGGAGAAGTTGAGCGAGCCGGAAGAGGAGGATCAGACTGTTGATGGGCTCATTGAGGAGGAAATTCAGAAGGTGACCGTTGCGCCGGAGATGGAGCGAAGGGGTTCGAAGAGTCCGGGGCCGGAAGCGGCCGGGTTAATGACGCCGCGTGACCTGGGCACGCAAGGCTTGACCGATGAGGGCTATTTCGACTTGAAGTTTTTCCACAACCGACTGTGGTAGGACCATCTACATTCGGCCGCTTTCCTGCACTGTAGCCTCGACGAGGTAGTTGATAAAGCCGTGCGCGCAATGTGTCAGTTTTTGAATTAATTTGCTCATTTCTTGTGATCCGAACCACCAAAGTTACTTTAAATAAACGCTTCAGACAGCCCGTTAACAAGGGTGTTTTTGTTCGAATTTGTTTCTCATTAAATCCTTCTTCGCAATCCAAATTAAGCGAAACATGATGAATAGTCGATGATATGCGGGTTATCAGGCGTTTTGTCCGGACGGTTCGGTAGCCGTCTGCAGGTGCGACAGCAAAATGGCAAAATATGTTTGAAAAAATTAGAGCTACTTACATTGAATGCTGTCTTCTTCGGTAATTGCTGCGCAACATCATGGCTGTGCTGTGCTGCTACTCCCGTCATTTTTCCGCAGAACACTAGGGTCCATTTGCATGTGCGCCTAAATTAAGGAAAGTATAGGATTAGGGAACAATTTACAATCCACAGCTTCCAAGACGAACTGGGGGAACGGAAAAACAACAAATGAACTCGCATAAATATACCGTTTATGTTAAATCTCTCATAACAATGTGGGCTTATTTTAGTGATGCTTACCGCTATAAATATAAATTAAACTGTAACGACGATATGTATTAAAGCGCCGGAAAATACTCCTCTACCCTACATGTTAGTAGCAAATATCTATATACAAAAAAGTGAGCATACACGTTCCAACAGGCACTTTCACTTATAAAATATAGTAACGATTCCTTACGATAATTATTGAAAAATGTACAGTGCATCGAATACTCTGTGGTCATCATTATTGTTGATTCACCATCCAATCCAAGCTGCTGGATTGGGATCATTCACTCCGGGTTAGCTTTAATTAGACCAAACGTCCAACCAGTAACAATGCGCTTTTTGCATCATTTGCTTAATTCAAATTTGGCAACTGAATTTCTGGCTTTCACTCGCTTCCAATGGCTGGGTCAGCACCAATCGGCGATGTACGTAAAGTCTCGGAACAGGTTCTGGTCCTGATTGGTCAAAGGCCGCGGCTCTTTTGGAGGCGTCAGTTGCGCCTTTTCCGATGTGAATTCTTCGTCAAAGTTGCTCACATCCTCCATGGAATGCTGAGAACAACAATCAATGATCTTCGGCTAACCCAAGACAAAGCAGGAGCAGGAACAGGATGGAAAGGGCTTCAATTGAAACACTCATGGAGGGTTTGCACAAAAATACGCAAATTGTCGTAGTTTAAACGCGAGTTCATCGTCAATACAGCAAAAACCTCCACAGTATGAACGCTAAAGCAATTTACCGGTCGATGGTAGGTACTTACCACAGTGGGTACAAAAGGAGGCGGCACCCTGCGATGCAGCAGTTCTTCCCATTGGATGTGCCTGAAGAACGCCTGCTTCTTCACATCTTCTGCGTCGCGCTCACTCGACCCCAGCCGTCTGTCCGGGGATTTGCGCAGTAGCTGCAAACAATCGCTGAGTCAAATCGCCCAAATCCTCAACGGATCAACTCACCCTTCTCATGATCGCAATGGATTCCAGCGACAGGAACCGGGGATAGCGCACCTCATCGTTCACTATCGAGTCGAACACTTCCTCCTCATCGTCTCCAGGGAACGGCGACTAAAATTCCAAAAAAACCAGCTCAATCAGCTAAAAACAGCGATGTTTTACACGGCACGAACCTCCCCGACGAGCATCTCGAAAATGAGCACTCCCAATCCCCACCAGTCCACGGCGCGAGTGTACGACGTTTCGGTTAGGACTTCAGGGGCCAAAAATTCGGGAGTGCCGCAAAAAGTGCCCGTCCGGTCCAAGTAGCCCATGCCCTCTTTGCACAGTCCAAAATCGGCGATCTTCACGTAGCCCTCAGTGTCCAGGAGCAGATTGTCTAGTTTCAGGTCTCTGCAATCAACAGGCCACTTACACCCATCCAGACGCCGTTGAAGATTCGAGATACACTTTACCTGTAAATGATTTTATTCTCGTGCAGATACTGCAGTCCCAAAACGACGCAGGCGGCATAGAAAACAGCACGAGGCTCGCTAAAAACATCGGCGTGGATGTGCATCATCAGGTCGCCTCCTGCTGCATATTCCATCACGAAACACACGTGGGCGCTCGTTTGGAAGCAGGCGAAAAGATTCACCAAGAACGGGTGACGAATACTGTTGGCCACTGCACAAAAACAAAAACCGCACTCAGGTCCTCCCAACCCACACTATGAAGAACCGCCCATACCTTCAAAAATCCTCTTCTCGGACAGAAGCGACTCGACCTCGTCCCTAGCGATGATGTCGCCCTTCTTCAGGGCCTTGATGGCGAAATATTCGCCGGTGTTTTTGTACTGGGCCAAGATCACTTTGCCGAAATGACCGCGCCCCAAAACGCTGATCAGTCGGAAGTGATCGCAACACATCGTAGTGGTTGGGGGCAGACTTTGCGACTGTCTTCGGGACTCGTAGGCGCTGTCTCGGTAGCTAACCTCGCGAGCCACTGGGCGGCGCGCCACTGGCTCAAACGACGGCTAAAACCAACCCAATTTCAGCCCTAATCCAACCTGCCATTGGGGCAGTTATTTAACTCATCTAACTAAATAACTACCCCCCCAGCCTATGGGGCTGATATAGAGGAACACCCTGTGTGTGTTAGTAGTTGTGTAGGTTCATGGCTCAAGACCCGATTAATTTACTCACTAATCCCCCACTTAAAAGCCACATGCTGATTAGTGCGTACATAAGTAGTGGGCGTTACCAAGCAGGATGGGAGGGAGGGGCCAGTTTGGGGATATGGAACACGTTAAACACAACAAACACAAAAAGAAAACAAACAAACTCAGTACCTCGTCGTCAGGAAATTCGATCAGCGGTTGGGGACTGGGGAGAACGAAGTCGTTGGGGAAGACGACAATGGGCGTGGTTGGAGTAGAGGGAATGAGGAGGGGCCCGGGCCGTGCCCTACAACCCTCCTGTTCATCCTCCAGAAAGTCAAATTCGCGAAGAGCTGCGGCGCTCTGCAAACACGAAGCACGATTGTTCGTTTTAACAAAGGGAGGAACGTTGTGGGACGTTAGAGCGAAAAAACCACCTTGAAACACTTCCCTTCCGAAACAATCAAAAACTACTTGAACTAGTCTAGAAAAAATCAAGTACATTACGGTGTCAGTGTGAATGTAAAGTGGGTGTGAGTGGAGGTGGTAGTCCTTTTACCTCTAGACACATTACAGAGCCTCAACAACCTACAAATGTACTGGGGGGACTCTTTTAAGTGCCTCACTTACACCACCCCTTTTCAATCGGTGGTGAGCATTTGCGCAGACATAGTCAGCCTTGCAGTATTGTGAGGTGAATTTAGAGCCCCACTTGGAGTTTTGAAACTTATTTTCATATAAACTAAACTCAGCTCACAAAAGTGTCAAACCTTTCCCCATTTCGTCGCCATTTTTATGCCCTTGGCCCTCAAAACCGGGTGACACACTTAATCAAATCCTGGCCCTTGGACACAACTCCCACATACAGGGTGAGTTTCATTGAGTAGATCATTCAAACGTGCAATTCTTTGTACATTTCCACCCTGATTTGAGCCCAAACTCACCCTGTATATGCAGGGTTATTCATTATAACTCGCTCCTTTATTTTGTTATTTTGAAAGATCGAGAGGTGATTTTAATCCTCCTGCCTCCTATATGGAACAACCCTGTACAGTAGTGGAAAACAATGTGGCCTGACTTACCTCAGGATCCAGCCTGGGTGGGACGGGCGGCGGGGGCACTGAAGGGGCCTCAGTTCGCTTTTTGGCGATGGGCGGCGGGGTGCCGTCGGGGTAGGGCGGCACCAGCACCCAGTCGCGCGATGGACCCTGTGGGGAAGGAGTGGAAGGCGATTGGAAGGTGGGCGGCACTTTGGGCGGCGGAATGGGCAAAGCCACTGCCAGCCCTAACGGGCGCTGCCCGCCCAAACCGAAGGACTGCGGATCGGGAGTTTCCCCCGGAGTCTCCGGCTTGTCCTCCACAACGGTTGCGTCGTTCTGCAACACGGTAAGCGCAATGGTAAGCCAGCTGTGGACAATCCGTCGACTTTCGCATACCGATTCGGCGATTTCTGGCGTGTTGGGCGCCAGATTCTGCCTGCTGGGCACGCGGTTCGACTGTTTCATCCATCGACCCCACGTCACGATGTTGATGTTCATCTGCTTGGCCCTGGGCATGACCTGCTTGAAGATGCGCTTCTGTCTTTGCAGTTTCGGCCGCTTGGATATCATCGGGTTGAGGAACTTAATCTCGGCAAAAAGCAGGCCTTGCGGCTCCAGATGCAACACCATTCCGTCGCGGTCATTATCGATGAACTCTTCGAGCCGCAGAAAAATCACGCCGCAAAGCGAGCGCCAGTCTTTCCAGTAGACGCCGATTTCCAACTCCCTGGACTTGTCCAGCTCTATGGAGAATCGCTGGTCCCAGGCCTGCAAGCGTCGCCTTTTACCGCTTATTCACATCTTGTTGTTGCCGACATGTTTATACCTGTTGCGAGCACTGTCTCCAGCTGGTCTGCGCCACGGTGTTATTGTCCAGCTTCAACAGAGCCATTATCTCGTCGCTGACGTCCTCCTTCACGCTGTAGCTTTTTGAGGAACTCCTGCCGGTCACGCCTGAAAAACCGACCGGGATTAGCCCCGCCTGAAGCGCAGCTTCAGGACGATTAAGAACCTTTTTTGAAGAATCTCAAATCCATTGGACTGGAGCTGCCGTCCGACTCCTTTTTCGGCCGTCCAGGGACTTCTTCTAGTAGATCTTGGCAGCCCATTAGCCTCACTTCCAAGGTACCTTAAATGGTTATTATAAGTTAAAAATAAAAACTGAATAAATCTTCAAACAACCAGAATAAACTGAAAACTCACCAGTAACAGCAGCACACCGATTGAAGGTGCTCATGGCATTGTGCATTTTGTTGCTTTCGCTCCGCACTGTAAAAGGTTGCAAGCTGGTGTAGTGGACAGATGCTGGACTGGAAGTGGGCGCATTGGCCAGCTCCTCCTTCAGCTGGGCGGCAATGGGCGAATCGGGCGGCAGCTCCGCCTTGCGCTGCTCCAGCGACTTTCGCAGCAGGTCCAGCTTCATGCTGCTGGCGCGCAAACTTTCCTGGGCCTGGACATTAAGAGAATAATCACAAATGCGTTCAAATAAAAGCGAGCAATCTTTGGTCGCCGCACTAACCCAATCAAACAAAAATCTAGCACAAAAAAGGTCAAACGCGCGTGTAGAAACTAAATCTAGATATCCGAATAAAGCGCCTGTTCAGGCTTGTCGGGGTCGCGAGCTTTCTGCTCGAGAAAATCTTTCCAGTTTTGGATGTAGCGGCCACTGGGCGGATCGCCGACGCTTCGCGTCCTATTCCGACCGCCCACCGAATGCCAGTACGACTGGCAATGCTCGCATAAACAGTCGGGATTTTTGGCCGGCCCCACATGATGGCCCGGCTTTTTCATAACACTGACCACAGTGCCGAACTTGCGAGCAATCGAGCGCGGCTCCGTGTAAATTCCCGGCACTATCATAAAAGGCGACCGCAGGTTTGGATCGCCACTGAGCCGCTGCCTCAAGGTGATCGCGCTGGGCGACTGCGAAGTCGGACTGGAGTCGCTTAAAGAGCCCTGATCTTCCCTGGCCGGCTCCTTCGGCCGCTTGGCCTCCACTGGAACTGGTTCGCAGGACTTTACCGATCGGATAAAAGCGTCCCTGACTGTATTGGGCAGGGCATTGACGGGGCTTTTCTGTCTGGCCGGTTTGGGCAAGGGGGCGACATCGCCCTTGATGAACGTCCAGCCCTTGCCCGAATCGTCCGAGTCGTTGCTGTCGCTGTCCTTCGAATCCCACTTGTTCTTTGCCCGCATTTTGTTCTCGATGTACTCCCGCATTCGCTCCTGCTGAATCTGCAACTTCCGCTCGCTGAGCGGCGATTTCAGCGACTTGGACGACCTGCATCAAACATGACAAACAGTTTTCCATGAGTTTCAAAATTCGCGTGCCGTCCGGTACTTACCCGCGATTCTTCCACATTTCCTCCATCTGTCGAATGCGGAGCCGGTCCTCAGAGTCGGCGTACTCAAAACTATCGCTCGGCTGGACGCTGGCCACGCTGGAGGTGTCCAGCAAGTTTTTGCGCTCAAACTCCGGCGCCTCATCGATGCTCTGGGCGGCCTCCAATCGCCTGCGAGGCACGAAATCCAAACTTTCAGTGGGCGCGATGCTGGATCGGCTCATCATCAGGCTGTCGATGTCCGAAAATGTGTCCTTCCAGCTGGTGTTGGCTACTGAGTCGTAGTCTTCCGGAATGGCGCAGCTGGAAAGCGAGTAGCTGGTCCAGGAACGCGGCACGCTGGATACGCTAGCGGAAAAATCGCCTGCAACAATATTCCATCATCTTCAGGAGTTCATGCAACAACGCTCGCAAATTACCAATGTTCGAGTAAGAGCTGAGCTTGGAGGGATAGGCCGTGCTGGAGTTTTCATCGTCGGACTCCTCCTTCTCCATGGAGGTGTGAGTTTCCAAGGGTCTTCCCATTGAAAAGGGGACTTCCTGGTGAAAATCGGCCGCTTTTTTCAGGTAGAAAGGCAGATCGCGCTCATCAGCCTTGCGATGCGTCACCTGCAATCACCATCCGGTCATCCTCGGCCTGAGAACGTCGACTTTTGGCACAAACCCGCATTTTGTCGTTCTCAAACACCGTCTGAGGCGTGCTGGCGCTTTTGCTGCCCTCATCGCTCGACTCACTGCTCGCATTCGACTCCATCTCAGTCCCCGTGCAGTAGACGTCGATGTGCACGGTTCGCGGCTTCTTCAGCGGATCGCTCGACTTTGAATCGGCTGGCGACTGTTCCTTAACATTCTCTTTGGGGGATCGGCGCAACTTCGGCGATTTGGCCAACCGCTTGCTCGACTGAAACTGTCCATTAGGTAAATGGGGCTTTTGGGGCACAGCCCGGTACCTTCATGCTGTCCAGACTGTCCGGCGTGAAGGTCCCAATGGACGATGTGTTTTTGCGCAGCGGTTCCGTCAGGCCTCTGCGCTGGTACCTGCGGACGCTTCTGCTATCCACCGAGTCGGTACTGTTCATGCGCAAAAATGGCGACGTGCATTTATCCACCATTTCGAAAGTCTGCACCGAAGCGTCCTTTTTCTCCTGCATCGGCGCTTTGGACGTCCCCGATTTAGAGGGCGCATTTGTGGGCAAAAGTGGCGCTTCTGCAAAGCGTTACGTAACCACACTAGTGTTGGATTGATGTCAATTCAGGCTGATTCAAAAGTCGCGCAAGTCCGGAAGATAAGAAAGTGTTTCTATTGGTCGGATGCTCTGTCAATTCGTCCGACGTCGTGTTAGGTTGAGAAATGTAAACATTTTCGAATTGAGCGGGTTCATAAACGAAAACAGCGGGTGCGGTTTATTCGACCCGGTGTCAGTTTGTTTATCAACAACTGTAGTGTCGTTCTTTCCCCCCATGCAAAGGAGTCTGTCTTTCCTTGTCTCAGGTCAGTTCTTACTGAACGCCCTGTCAGGAGTCATTTAATACGTCCGCACTTTTTTATGAACGCTCTCCAAACACTCGGCATCGGACGTATGTCTAAAATCTGCCACCAATGGAAACGCTTTCAGATTGATCTGTTTTTGAAGACATCTTTACGTCAATTTGAATCAATTTGGGATACTAGTGTGTGTGTGTTTGTGTGTGTGTTCTTTAACGTGGACTATTCATCAATCTACCTTCAGGAACCGCGGGAATTTTGCAACAGTCCTCATTGGGGTGCCAGTGGTGGCACCACGGGTCCCCACAGCCATAAAACCGCTGCGAATGCTTCTGCAGGAATGTGGACGGGGTTTGACAACGCAGGCTCTGCGTGCGACTGCAGTGGGGCGACTGGTGCAGCCCTGCAGCAGGGAACCAGAGCCGTTAAAGCCTGGCCAACCAGCGCCGGTTACCCACCTTGCAAATTGGTGGAGAGCGTGATGTTGCACGTGCTGCGGCACTTGCGGTCAAAAGGCGGCATGGGGCGGCGCGGCAGGCTGCCCCCTGAGTTGGGGCTCAGCAAGTCGCTGCCATACCCCGAAGAGTCGTGGATGAGACCGCGCCCTATTAGCTCTGGGGGCAGCGAAGAGGCCACTTTTGCGGCCTCCTTTGAGGCCTCGTCTTCATCCGGCCTGATCAACGGCGGCGTAGATGTGAAGAACATGTTCCCTTTCTGGTACCCTCTGGTATAGTCGGTGCTAAACATAGCGCTAGGGGGTTGCAGCCGCGGCGGGGTTGTAGTTGGTGCCGAACTGGGACTGTCGCTGTTAAAGTGTTCATTTTCCCCATCCATGTAGTGAATCCACTAGAATCGACTTACTGGTTTGAGGCGCTAGTAGGCCAAGTCTCCGGTCGAGCATCCTGCGGCTGCTCATTCCAGCTGTAGGTCATGCGGACACCGCCAGTGGCGTCGTCGCGATCCGTGCTGGTGCGGGGCCGATTCCTGGGGTCGTCCGCCCCTGGATGCGAGATGGTAAATTCGGCATGAACCGAAAAATGGGTGGGCGGCGACGTGGGGTCTCTCGGGTTCATCCTGGACACCAGTGGGGCATTGTCAGGCCGACAGATGGTCCGGACTCCCCATTACAACACCACTACTAAACGCGGTCAGGCTAATTTTAACCGGTTGCGCTTCGAAATCACTGCAATAATAGCCGACTGTCTCGGTTTATGATTAACAGGTAAACCACTATTTTTAGGCGCGGCCACCAACATGTGGACTTATGTAAAACAGTGCGGGAATTGACCCAATTTGGCCGCAAAGCTGCCCGCGAACAGGCCATACACCTGGAAGAGTGTTAATAATCCAGCCAAAGACCTGCGTGATTATCACGCATAAAGATACACCTGTGGTGGTTTCGTCTTCGCTTTGTGACCACGATTTTTGAGCGAAACACTTCCCGAACACTCCTACGCGTAAACAAATGCTATTTTCGACAGCCGCTTCTAACCCGAATGGTCGCAATCCGCACTACGACTGGGACAAACTCCGCTTAGACGCGGTGGAAAAACTATTTCTAGATCGACTACTAGTCGTACGCGTATCAAGGGAAAAGAATCAAACGCTTAACCCTCGCCTAAACCACTGTTCACGATGCCAAAACGCCAACAATTAAATCGCTGCCAAGCCCCATTAGTTCCACAACATCTGGGCGAAGTTATAATTAAACCAGAAAAAATTCAGATTGTGGAAAAATGCTCGACTCTAACAGCAAACATTGCTGGCGCTAATTAAGCGCGGTGCTGACAAGCCGATTTGCCCATAAACACTCTCATGTGGGTGTAGTTTTATGCTCTCTGTGAATCTTTAAAATCAATCAAGCCATAGATTGAAAATAAACCCATAAACAAAGGCCAGTTAGATCTATAATTAGCCAAAGAAAGTCAGTTCAATAGTTCACTCTCGTTTGGCAGAGGTTTAGCTGAACTCGCTTCAACCCAATTGCGGGCATCGAATGCTGAACTTTTCAATACTGAGTAGGGCGACCGACCAAAGATTAATAAAAAAATAGACTCATATCAAACCTGACCTCTTGCAAAGCTTTGCGATTCTCGCCCCGTTCTTTAGTGCCGTTCTGCAGCAGTTTGATGACGTTTTTGGCGCCCTCCACCACGGCAGCCTCCACTCGGAGCCGATGCTTCAAGTCCTCGATCCGCTCGTCCAGCACCGGCTCCAGATCCAGATTCATAAAATCGCCCCCATTCGATGTGAGATCGTGCACCGAGCCGGAGGTGCGCGATTTCGAGTCCACATCGTGTTTCATCTGGAAGCACCAACATTTCCCCATCTCATTCGACAACAGAAGACAAACCCGCCCACTCACTTTGGTGATCTTCATTTTCAAATATTCTATCTTCTTCCGGGAGTCCTGCAGCATCTGTTGCGCCTCGAGCAGCAGTTTTTTGTCACGGGATGTTCCAATGCTCTGGATCATGTTCTCAGCGCCCTGCTTCACCTTCAGCTCGATGTTGAGCTGCTTCTCCAGGTTCTCAATGCGGCTCAGGTGGTTCGGGCTCATTTTGTCCAGCCGATGAAGCGAATCTAGAAGCCAAAAGTTTACATCAAAATAACTGTATCAAACAGTTTTGAGTGGAACCGTTTCGAAGCGGCATTCACGGCCAGTTGAATGACCTTCGCAGACCGGCCGGTCCACAGGCCCGATTTTGCCTCCGGTGAATTTTTGCTCGCAGATACCCGTCCGATTACGTTTCAACTGGCCTTCAACGGCCGCACTAAATGCCATTTAAGGCTATTAAGGGCTTACCGCCATTCGATGCGAAGAGAACGTTGGTGGAGGGCGAAGTCTGGCCCTGGGTGAGGATAATTTGCGATTCCAGCTCGATGAGCTCATTTTTCAGCTCGGTGAGTTTGAAGTTGGAGTTCTTGACAATGGTGGCCACGTGACTGAGCGACTTGCGATCAGTGGAAACGCCGCGCAATTTCTCCGCTCCTTCTTTGATTTTCAGTTCTTTTCGAATTTCTCTGAAAGAAACCGGCGCATTGAGGGTGAAGGTATAACTAAAGTTTAATAGAAAATCACCTCCTAATGATGTCTTTGAGCTCCTCAAGCTTGCTTGGCAGTTGGGAGTCGGTCAGGTGGTCGGTCGGAAGGCCGTACTTGTGCGACAGCTCATATACGACAGGGTGTTTGATGTAATCACCCTAGAAAAACATGAAAGTCGTTAAGAAACTACTAAAAGTAAACCAACAATACGAAGAATCGACGAGTTACACTGACGTGCCTCTGAAGAAGCTAGCGAAACGCCAGGACCAAATTTCTATCAATAACAGCCTAATAACACGAAAATCGTAATTTTTCTACTTTTCTAAAAATGAGAACATCGATGGTGGTTCACTTCTCATCACATGTTGTGTGTAGAGAATTAGAACCAACGAGTTTTCGATATTTTACAAGTTTCTATGAACGACGGTGTAATAACTAGAAAATCATATAAGTCGTTTGAGTGTTTTGCGGGTTATTAGAGCGGCGTAAATAGGAATTTGATCCTGACGTTTCGCTAGCACGCATGGATAGCATCTTCAGAGGTTTGTGCGTAGCCGAACCACAACTAACCACGCGTGTTGGTGAAACGTCAGGATCAAATTCCTATCAACAAAAATAATCGAGTTTTTTTTGTCTCAAGCATCAGCAGCCTAAAACCAATAAAGTCTAAAAATAAGCGTTTTTGGAACGAATGGAAAAGTGAACGGCGACTGGGAAGCCGGTAAACAATGCAATGGGCCAATTGTTAATAACCAGAAAAGGAATGCTGCTGGGAAATGGGACATTGATGGTATGAACGCAACGATCGCAGGAAACACCGCGTTTTGCAAGCTCTGTTCGGAATTCGGAGAAAATTGTATTCGCTTGCTGATTATGAGGATTTTATTTCTGCTATGGAATAGTCAGAAATTCACCATCAAGCTAAAACCAGCATAAATCCTGCAGCCCACCTGCTGACTCGAATGGCCGTACTGGCCGTTTCCGTCTGAGCCTAATAGAAAATGCAGGGAATGAATAAACGAAACATCCGCCGTGCATTTCAAGCAGGGAAATAAATGTTGGAAATGCCTTGAGAGGACTGAAGACTGAATGAAGTCTTGCGCTGAGACAGGCCTTGAAACAGCTAGGGAAAAGAAACGAATCCACGCGCTTATTAATGGGGAAAGAATGCTGCCAAATCGGTGATGAGGAGGATTACGTCCTATCTTATCATTGGAACAGGTACTCGATGCAAACAACTCTACTTGAAATGTTTTTTCAGGTGACTGAAAATAAGCTCACCCAATTAACGGACACATTTCCGGCCCATGTGTGATAACTGCCTTTGGCCAGCCGGTTCTGGACCTTGGCTTTGGGCCGCTTCTTCAAAGTGCTGTATTCCATTGTCTACGCACTATCCGCATAGTCCTAGTGCTCGTTTTTTTCGGGTTAAGAACCGCACGAAACAGACAATGAAACCGCTTGCACTAACAGACACCTGCCTAACTAATTACCGCTAATTAGATATATTAATTTTTATCTGGGCCACTGGGTTTTCACTTGGCCAGCCAATCGCCGAGTCGACTCAGCGAATTATGGGGGCCTAATACGAGAATCCTTTGCATCTAGATCAGACGGTAAGGGACCGAATAGAATCCCTTGAAATACAAGCACGTATCCCCGACCGCGCCTATTTTACTGGCTTATTAAATAGGATGGAACAAAGCGTGAAGCCTCACACAATTCGCGTTGCACACTTGAACTAAATCATGAATGATGACTCGTTTTTATCAATTTAGATATTAATATCCAAAGGCTTATCTTTGGGTTTGTTTGTGTAGTGTCATAGACGAGGAGCATGTGTTGTGGTCTCCTCAGGGTTCGTTTTGGCTGTTGGAACCCACAATCCTTCAGATGATTAGCTGTTAAATGAATGGCAAAAAATCTAGCCAAACAAGTTTGGCCTGCTGTTCTTCTGCCCAATGACTCGCCTTGAACCGATGGTAACGATTTTTGGGTGGCGCCAAAACCCATACCCAATGGACTTTTTTGGTGTATTTTTAAACATTGCCAATCGGCAATAAATGCAGCATTTTTAATAAAAATACACCTCCACCAGATGGGTAATTAACTGTGGAAAATAATCCAGAAGCCTGAAGAGTTGCGGGCATTGAATCAAGTCCAAATCGGTCGAAAACCCATTGCAACAGACCTTGCTTGGATCTCATGGTGTAATTGCCTTAACAGGTCAGGGAATTGCATACAAATGACAAGGTAAAACCCCATAATTACCCATATTATTGAAATCTAACCTAAATACCATTTGCTGGGTATAAACATTGCCATTTCCCATGGACAGTGATGGGTATGGCACGAAGGGGGCGCTCTACATTTTCTGAGCGGTTGTTCTGAGCCGTTGCCTCAGAATCGGCTTGAAGACAATGTGGGCCGCTTTGGGAATATTCCCAGTGCCCGAAACTCACCTGAAAATACGTGTCGGCCATCTTGGTCGTGGGAAAACTTTACATCACCTCGTTCAAAGCGATTTTCCGGCACTTTCCGCGTTTATTAGCTCGCTATTTAATCGACCGACATAACATCAATAGATTGTGTAAACAGAAAAATATTGATTGATTGGGTTTTGATCGCGCTATTGGCCGATAAAGACAATTATCTACAAGTACAACATACAGGGGCGCCTTTGCGCACTGTACTGGCAGCCACTGTCGCCAAATGACCGGCATTGAAAGTTACCAGGCGCGCTCTGAAATCCCTAGAATTTCTCAGTTTGGCAGTCCATAGTCGACAATGGCGAACAGCCAGTGTGAAAGTAGGGACGGGCAAAAAACGGCGAATGCGAGTGTTTTTCACGTTGATGGTGAAAGAAAACGACAGTGAGTTGAAGGGGAAATTGTGGCGAACCAAGTTTCTTTATCGAGGAGCTTCTCAAATGGAAAATAGGCAACAAGCTGGAAAGGTCTGTAAATGGAAATGGAAAGAAGGTTTTTGCATGAAGCAATCACCAAGGAAGGCCAATTGGTTGCCATTTGGCCCAAAAAAGCGCAAATTGCCCCAAAAAGCGTTAAATTTTGTTCTATCCTGACATTGACAGTTTACCCCCAATTTGACCAAATTCCTCATCATTAGGCGCAACTGACTGCAGTGTTGCCCCACTTGACTAACAACTTTGCTTAGCGGTGTTTGCTGTGGAAAAGTGGTTTTCCATTACTCTCCACGCATTCACTATTGTTCCATAAAATGACAGAGAAAGCGATCGTCGTTTCCGGTTTGGGGAAAAAGCTGCTCAGCGCAATAAAAAACGATTTGCACAAAACACATCGCTGAGAAAAGTTGTTAGTTGAAGGATTATTTATGAAGTGAGTAAATTGCCAAGTTCAAAGGTAAATTTGGAAATGGCCTCAGGTGTTCTCAGTCGGAAAAAAAATTCAAATTCTGTGCACCTGAAAGGACATCGGCAATTAATCCAGCGATATTAATTTATCTAAGGAATTAGTTGTTTTGAAGTTGACGAATTTGATTCTTGGTAAGGAGCGAATCTATTGCGCAAAAGCTGGCATCAGTGCCTGGCACTGCAGCACGAGTCTCGGTCTGCTCATTCGAACACGATTCTGTCGGCAGTCTTGCTGAATCCGAAGTGGAAGCGTGTGGGCTCCTTTGCAAAGCGACGTGTCACGAGACGGCAAATTGCACTTTTCAGCCCCAAATATCGTGAAATTGGCCATCAAAGTTGCGCCAGTCCTGAGCACAGTGGTCGGACTCGCTTCTGAGCTAGATTCTACGATCAGTTTCCTGCTGCGACGGGCATAAACGCGCTTTTTCCTGCGGTACGCGTTCGGTTTTTCCACAGAGTCAAAGTGTGCGTGCAAGCCGAAGCCAAAGGACCACTCTTCGACTAGTTTTACTCAAGTTGTTGGGCCGTTTCCGACCCCCGGTTTTTCTTCTGGATTATTCTTCGCTTATTTCCAGTCAGCCAGACCCTGCCTGGTCTGTTTACTCTAGAATAAACAAACGAGAAATGCCGGCTCAGTGTTGTTGACCATTGAACGTCGCCGCATCGGTGTGATGGAGTTTTCTATAGTTTAGTGTTTTTGTTGTGAGTTTTCATTTATTTTTGTTGATTTGGATTACGCCGACCGACATGGATATTCTGCCCAGCGTGGACATCTTCAAGGAGCTGCAGGACATTAACGATACCGGCTTCTTCACGGCTAAACCCAGTCTGGATGATCATTGGCAACAGGTATGCTTCTTTTGACAATTGTTCACCCTCCAGCAGGAAAATTTTTGGTTTTTTCGGCCGGCTTTGCACCCCAAATTTCACGATTTGTGTTCCCATCCATTGTAAGAATCATTTCGAAGGCCCACTCAACGAACTGCGTTTTGGGCTCAATTCAGTCAGGAGTCAGTTGCTTTTCGATAGTCCATCTGGAAAGTTTTCTGTTTCCGTTGAGGTTTCAATAGCAGTTCTAAAGAGAGAGGAGCTAAAACTTTCAAAAGTGGTTCTAATTATCTCTTCAGCCATTAAGATATTTTAGATGGACATTCTGGGAAACTGTTTTTATGGGTTTTGTCAAACCCCGAACCCCCAAACGGAGTTAAAAGTATGAAAAGCGAACGCCAAAACCGTCGAAAATCTTGGATAATTCTAAGGGATTTTTTGATCAGGCGTTTCGAGATCTACCTCTGCATCTTCGGGCGTCAATCAAAATTTCCCATTCGTGAACATTTTCTATTATATCTCGAAAACGGGGTAAAATGTCGAAATAATCATTAGAATGTTTTCGATAGAGCGTCTCGAGCGCTACGCTTCCCTATTTGGTGCTTATGCGAAATTGATTGCGGTTGTAGTCGCGATATCTCAAGTAAATAACGGTAAGTTCAAGACGCGGTATCTCGAAAGCCGTCGAAAATATCGAAGAAGTCCTAAGCACTATTTCAATAGAGCGTTTTGAGGTTTATTATGTTGTGCTGAGGCCTCAAGCTAAATTGCTACTTTTAAGGGCAACAATGACATTTTTCAAAATATCTCGTAAACAGCGAAAAATATACCAATAATCAGTGGAACCTTTTCGATAGAGCATCTCGAGAAGATTCTTCCTCTCAAAAGCCACTTGCTAAATTTTGGCCCTCACTGCAGCAAAAATCCCAAATTGATCGCATTTGCTCAAGTGAGCCCATTTTCTCGTTGGCTAAAGAAAATGGCACATTCTCAATGGAAAATCCAGGAAATGTTTGAACTGCACTGCGAATCTCCAGGGTCTACCGAGCAACTTGAAATCCATAAATAATGGACTCAACGGTTTTGTTTGTTAACAAAAGCGCTCGTATGAACAATGTTAACAAAGCATGGCGCTTTTTTGAGCCTACAGTCAATAATTAAATATACCGACCTATAGAACATGATATCATTAAAGTGAGTGCGTCAAGTTTCACCGTAACCGACCAAACTATTCACATTTGTGTTAAAACGTTCTTGACTTCGTTCCTTCTTTCGTAAAATTCAGTAGCGTAGGTGGACAACCAAATTTCATCCATTTTAGTCCGTTTCCACCGAAAACACGATATCAAATATAAATCAATCTTACGTAAATTATAAGCAGTGTGTGAGCTCATTCGGTGGATCATAAGAACACTATTTACTGACACGGGGATTAAAACATTAATTTATCCTTATCGGCACCATTAGAGCGAGATACAGTTGAGCCCATATATAACGAACTTGAAAAATGAACTAAAACTGGTTCGTTATACCCGGAGTTCGCTATAAGCCAATAATAATACAAAAACACGTGGTATATTTTATTTCGTTATTTTTACATAGAGTAGTAGAAGTTAGTAGGTATGACTAAAAAGAACACAAAAAGATAAACAAAATT